ACTTTGCTCAAATGAAATGTTGCCCAACCGCGGGAATGCGAAATTATTACTCTACCGCCATTGATAAAAACTATCGGAGAACACGCAGAGTTTACATTATATGCGCGACCGCCATAAACTCAAAAGTACTATAGAAGGCAAAGTGCGTGTTATGTATATATTTAAAGGCCGTTTTCGCCAGGTCGGTGCTTTTTGGTGTGCACACACAGAGGCAACGACGAAATTGCTCTTATCGCCGTGGTTCCCTTTTTGTCGAGCTGAGAGCTGAGAAATCCTTTATGTTTCGCAACATTTCTTCTTGAAACATGCACGAAAATCGATTGGGACACACCGCTCACCACTCTTTCTTGGCAGTCAAAGATATATAAACGGAATGACGCAAAACGGAAAAAAAGTGAGACACAAAAATTCAAGGGCAAAACAAGGGCTTGCGAAGGCGTGAAATATACGATCGATTAATTTTGGCATCGAAGATGCATTTAAAATTGAATTTATAAATAAGCAATATTTTTTAGTGAACAAGATGGAAAAAAACTAGCTTTGATTTTTTTTAAATTGTTTTAATGGGTCCTTAACTATTTTCTAATAAAATATTTTAGGCGGAATATTGATTTCATCGTAGAAATGTTAAGTTCAAGGGTTAATGCAAAAGTTTGAATCATTTTGTGAAATATTTGCGACTTCCAAAATAATTGATTTTAAGAAAATTTAATTTCATATTCAATTTTTTAGTTAAGCCGGCAGTTTTTAACTTTTTAAATCCATTTAATCAATCAAAAATTAAATTCACAATAAATAATTTTAAACAAATTTGCACCACTTTTGAACCAATTTTCAAAACTTTCCAACGCGTGCATTCTGCAAACAGTAAACAAGTTAGATGAAATTTGATAAGCCACGTAGCCTCATTTTGCTCTTATGTTGATTCACTTTATAGGAGTAAATGGCTTGAGAAACTTGCAAACATATCATGCAGTCAGAGCTCTAACGTTACAAGCAATTAACCAAAACAAACGCTTCTAATTGGAACGTCTTTATTTCCTATACAAATCGTGGCACTTTTCCAAACATATATTGCTGGAAATGAATAAATCAATTCATCGGCGGCGTTAAAACAAAATTCACGCAGCAAAAGCCAAATAGCAATAAAACACTCTCAGCTGTATATACAATTAATTCAACAGAACTCGAGACAAAAAAGCTGCACTGCAGAATTTCAAAAATACACCACCTTGGCGTCAGCAGCTCCTCTTCTTGCAACAAACAATTGCAAGAAAGTCGGTTTATTTTCTCCACCGCGGCGTTTATTTATTGCTTTAAATTGAGCTTGCAGCCTTTTTCAAGGTTCGGTTTATTTTGGTCTGGGCAGAGATTTTCGGGCGAAAGAAAAATGCGCGCCGAGGTGTGCGAAAGCTCGCCGTGCCCTCGGCGGCGCACATCCTCGCGGGTGTTATGTTGCTCTAGCAGGTGCAATGACGTCATTGGACCCTCTTACGTCGTCAGCGCGCTCCATTTGTTTAGCTGTTATCAGTTGATTTTGTGTGCAGTGCGACCTCCGACTCCGCCGCATACGCACGGCTGATTTTCAATTAGCGACATCACGAAATCTGGACATTAAGTCTTAATTGTCATTATTATGTGCGAGTCGAAGGTCGTCCGAAAATGGACCCCGCTTAATATAAAAAGCGCCTGAAAAGGAAAGCGTGCGAATTATTACGACCGCGCTTCTTCCGCAATCGGAAAATTGAAATGTCAATATACTGCACGCACACCATACGAAAATACAACAGCTGATGCTATTTAGCGCCAGAGACAACTTGGGAAACACTTGGCACACTACGCTGCCGATGCCATAACAGCCACCAAGAATGCGCGCATGCCCCAGTGCCTTTTCCGAAGCAGCTTGGTAAAATCAATGCGAATGTGTGTGCATGTTTATGCATAGCTTTACTTGTACCACTCAAGTTTGTTGCGGTTTTATTGCTCTTCAGCAGGGATTAAGGCCGTCTAAGCGGTCAAAATTAAAAATCACCTTAGTTTAAATAAATATTAATAATGAAATCCTTATTTAGATCTTATTTTAAATATTTATTTCATTTAAAAATAAAAACAATTTAACAAAAAAAATTCTTTTTTACATTTTATTTTAAAAATTTTAAATTATTATTTGTTGAATATAAATGTTAATCATAAGTAATTAAAATGATATGTTAGAATTTAATAATTAATGTTAGGTAGGCAGAATTTCTTCAAGCCTGATCGAGAGGAGTACTCAAGTATTAGAACCTATTCTTGAAATTTTTTCTTCACATTTAAATTTTAATAATTTGAAAAAGGTTGGCAACATTTTCAGTTATAATGTAAAATGCATAAAACAATTAAATACATGAATGATATTTTCTTGTCTCTATAAAACTAAATAATACTCTTGATTAGAAATTTTAAAATAATTTCACATTTTTCATTACCAAAAGAGTCATTTTTTATTAAAATTATTGTGTCCCCGCAAATTACAGGGCCATTATTGCAAAATATTGTCTTACGCTCATTGCGAAAAAGCTTCCTCTCTTTCTCTCGACAAACAAGATCGTTGAAGCTCAGTGACGAGCTTTCGTAATCGCGGGGCGCGTTTGGCACGGTTGGATTTTTCGTCCGGACGAACAGTGTAGAACAAAACAAGCAATGAAAGTGGGCGCATGAACGGGTGCACAGAGACAGAGTACGCAAGAAGTAAGAGATTTTATAAAAAGCATTGCGTGTGAAGCAATAGTGTATTTATTTTGAACGATGGAGAGTACCGAGTTTTGGCAACCAGAGCGTCATGATAAGCTTTGTTTTTTGATGCTTCGGCCGACGACTGTCGTCATTAGGCGTTAGGCGCGTGAATCACGTGGTTATTTTTAGTGCATAGCAGCCACCAAAACTCGTCATTAAATATTTTCCTCGGACCAGAAATGTAAACATTTTTAGAACATCAGCACGGACGTTCTCGCGCAGTGTGCCATCCCGCATTCTTGTCGAGAATAATTATACCCACCGCGAGCAAAAAAAAAAAAATAATAATAATTATGAAATATATCTAATATTATATAAAAAAAAAACGTGTCAGCAGAAAAAATATATCCTTGACCTTAACAGGCATGTTCAAAACGCCGATCTTCACCGAACAAAAGAAATGTGCCGCTGAAAGAAGTTATTCAGAGCGACGGGGCGAGCACTTAAAAAACCGCCATCCAGCGCTAGGCTCGTGATATTATGAGAAAGAACATAGAGAAGCCGAGAGAGCTCTCTTTCTCTCGTCGCTCCAATTAAACACACGCACACGTACGCAGAGATTACTCCAGGGGTGTGCAATTATCGCAGCGTTCTAAATGCACGGCTCTTTACATTCGACGGATGATCGTTGCCCAGAAATGACGGAAAATTAGGGAAGCGGGGAGAGGGTGAAGGCTCGGGGGTGCTGGCAGCGTGACCTACTTTGCGCGCACCCGATTCCATAAGTCTTCATTTCGGGGTAGGCGCGCAATTGATCAGAACGGCTGCCGCTTTTTCCCCGAGAAAGTGCTGCACCAGCAAAAGCTCTCTTCTCACCCCTTTGACTTTCACGTTCGTGAAATGCGTCAGTCTCAGTTTCCTCGCCCATACAGGCAGGCAAGCAAGCGTTTGCTTTCATTCTTGCCGACCAGGCAAGGCTATTCCTATCTCAACATTCTGCTGGGCTTTTGTTTATGATTCCATAGAAATTCGCCGTTGCCGCACTACTACACTGCAGAAGCTTCTTTTCAGCCCTGTAATTTAACTTTTAATTAAAGGGCGTGACGCGCTGTGTGAATTCAGCGTGCGGCACAGCAATTTCATTTAATAAATTTGACCATAGACTTGCAATTTAGCACTCTAACTATCACCCTTCGATCATTAATTTATTTAGCAGCGTCTCATACAATACATACAACAAGGCAACAAATGGCGGAAATGAACTAGATAATTTTTGACCTTCAAAGAATTACAATTGAGCTGTGTACATACTTAAATTATTTTTGTTTAAAAAATAAAAGTTAATAATTAGCGATTAATATTAAATATTAACTCCACGACAATTATTATGCAAGAGTATTAGAAAGTAATTTTTTTATCATACATTTTTTTTTTTAATTATTAAGATCAAAATTTAGATTTAAAATTTAAAACAATTCTTTCAACTTTTGATTTCTACTCAATTTAAATTACAAACTAGATATTAAAAACTGATGAAAACAACTTTATCAGCAATTTTAATTTTTTTTAAATCTGTTTTATTTTATTAATATTTATTTTATGTTCAAAATATACATCATTTAATATTTAATCTTACAATTTCTTTAAAGTTATATTTTTTTAATTGCAAACTTTATAATAATTTATGCAATTCTGATGACAACAAATTTATAGTAAATTTTTTTGCGCAGGGCTCCTGCAGAAGCTGTCTAAATATGAACAGTCCGCAAATTGATCTTCTGCGGTTCGCTCCGCAGGCTCGCTCGTTGTGCACACATGAGCCTTACGTGATAATATGCAAATGCCGCAATCGAGATGAAAAAAAAAATGCTAAATGGTTTAATTAGTGCAATTACGTGATAAGTCTCCACACTCTGCTTATCTGGGATGCATGCTTTTCGTCTGGCTTTGGCGTCATAACACAAACCATTATAAACCTGATAACGCATAAAATAAATTAAATTAATTGCGGTGTTCGCTCGGTGCTCATTTGAAGCGATCTTATGCTCATGACAGCAGGCGGCCGTGTCTGCTGCATTAAGTAAAAAAAGATACGGGCAAGCATATTCCAATTAAAATCTTCGTGCAATAATTAATGTTGCTTAGATTGCGTGATCAGTTTTCCGAACGGCGGCAGCAGGGCATGCATAATGATTATGTAAATTATGCTGATGACAGCAGAATATATACTCGAACATATACATGTATGTGCATTAATTAATTTGACTTGTGCTGGATTGTTTCAGATAACGTTGCTGCGAAGTGCAAGTGGGTCATGGTATCTTCGTAATACATCCAATACTGTTCTCAACCCAATCGAAGCGAGTGAGCCTTCCGAAAATAATTAACAATTAAAAAAAAAATACAGATAGAGAAACTTCCGAGTTCAGCCGAGAATCCCCCCCTGCTGCCATGCACGTAGAGATTCAAGTGGCTCTCAACTTTGTAATATCATACCTGTACAACAAATTGCCGAGACGACGCGTCAACCTGTTCGGAGAAGAGCTCGAACGCGCCCTTCGCGAGAAGTTTAATGGACACTGGTACCCTGAGAAGCCGATGCGCGGATCGGCTTACCGCTGCATCAAGACCGGCACCGGCTCGGTAGACCCCGTTCTGGACACTGCCGCCCGCGAGAGTGGCATCCCTGTGCAGGACATTCTGGAAAACCTGCCTCAAGAGCTGGCCGTATGGGTGGACCCTGGCGAGGTGAGCTACCGCATCGGTGAAAAGGGCGCCGTCCGCATCCTCTACAACGAGAGCATGGCCCAGAGCGCCCTGAACGCTTCGGCCGCCGCAGCCGCAGCAGCAGCCGCTGCTGCCACCAGCTGCGGCAGCTCCTCGCCAGACGACGACCTGGACACCGAGGTGCGCAAAACCTTCAACCCTGACGCACAATGTTTCAGGCCGATCCAGAACGCCCTCGGCAACCTGACCATCTCGTGCACGGCTCCGAAAGTCTGCCTGTCGCCATATCAGAACGGCTCCGGCCTGTCCACCTCCCCTCCCCCTGCCAACCCTCCCGCACGCCAGGGTCAACAACCCCCTCCGCAGCCGCCGAAAAGCACCAACGCGCCGGCCAACGGTGTCCCGGCCCCTGTGGCCGCCCCTCAGGAGAGCACTTCCCCCACGAACGCCAAGAGCTCCTCCAACTCGACGGCACCCTTCATCGGCCGACCGCCTGCCCCTCCTTTGACCTTCACCACGGCCACCTTTGCGCAGACCAAATTCGGCAGCACAAAGCTGAAGAGTAGCTCCAAAAGGGCCAACCGAATGTCGCCGACTGAGTTTTCCAACTACATCAAGCAAAGGGCCCTGCAACAGCAACAGACGCAGCAGCAGCCCGGATTCGTTGTCGGCTCCAACCGGCCCAGATCGCTTTCTCCGAACCCTCAACAGCAGTCACAGGACTTTTTCTTCCCCGCCGCCGGTCGTCAGTACCTGCAGTACCCGACTGCCCAGTACCACCCTCACCACCAACAACCCCACCACATGCAGTCCGAGCTGCACTTCCCGCAGCACCAGAAGCAGTTCCCGCCCAGGAGCTTCATGGACGGCCACCTGCCGACCACCTTGCCTGCCGGTGCCACCAACTCGAGCTCCTCCAACATGCTGTTGACTTCGATATCGCCCAATTCTAGTCTGGTGCCGCCGGGCGCGACTTCGCCCGCAGGAAACAACAACCCTTCCTCCGGACAGGACAGTGGCAAGCAGCAGTTGCTGGACGGCCTCGGCTTTGGCCTGCCCACCTACCAGCCGGGCCAGTACCAGCACCTTCTCGTGGCAAATTAGCCGGGTGCTTATGCAACCCGCAGAGCAGTCGTCGATTAGAAACGGTTTTAGGTAAAAAAAAGCGAAGATAAGAGAGAGGTAGCATGAGAATTACCACATACACACACGCAACACACACACACACACTTTACGACCTGACTTACCTTGCAAGTATGACAGCAATTCATAAAAAAATTATGCCTAAGGCTTTGATAGGAACATCCTGACACGTCCTCGATTGGATAGCTGATTATTTGCATGACTGTCAGGCTTTATTTTTTAAAGAGTTTTTACTTGCTGTTAATGTGTAAGAAAAAACTAAATGGTGAGGAATTGACTCTATTCGTCACCAATAAGAATGAGTAAAAAATAAACAGTGAATGTCTCCCACTTCATTGCGATCAACAAATTAATGTAGCAAAAGCGAAAATACAAAAAGTGAAAAATAACACCTTTGCAAAAGGTTTATCAACGACAAGCCAATATGTTTCCATATAAATGCCCTTATTCAAAGAGAGTCTCAACGGCATGATGATACACACGAAGTCTCGAATCTATATTTCAAAAGTATAAAATCTGTTCAACGCTTTCTATCTGAAGAAATGATAAAAATGGTGCTTTGTGCTGATTTTAGAGAGAAAAGCGTGGGAATACGCAGTGCACTTGATAATATAGTAGCAAATTGCTATTTTAATATTTTTTTATCCATCTCGCCAAGTTAAGAAAAACAATTCCTGAATCCAACTTTGCGAATTTTTGTACGTTTTATTTTCATAGGTAAACCAAAGATTTTACCTTTTTACGAGAATATTTTAAGTTGAGACCTAACGTATTTTTTTCATTTCTGACTTAATGATTTATTAAAGCAATGATGCTTCGGAAAAGCTGAAAAATAAAAGCCGGAATGCGTGCTTACTAAAACCACACAATACCATTTTTTATTACTAGAGGTTTTAAAACATTTAAACGTTCTTAATTATGAGTGATTAAAACAAATTTAACAAAACAGTTCATCTTTGAATTTTAAAAGAGAAAGCCAGGCCACAATAGTGTTATGTGATGCAGAAATAAGAATTTAATACCGAATGGTCTCATATTCATTGAATATATTTAAGAGAAAAAGAGCAAATTACAGGAATTGAAAAAGATTGCGATTCCAACGAGATGATCTAGAATTATTAACATATTTGGCGCGTATCACCAGAATACACTTTCATGGAAAAAATCTAAATTATTAACGGAATGGTGTTTGAAAAAAAAGTAAGCAAAGTATAGCTAACCTTAAAACGGTTAAATGTTGCTCGTATGTTCGTGACCTATAATGGAAAAAAAAACAATTCGCCTTGTAGTAAAAAGGAGGACATTTTGAAGATGTGAAGGCCTATCATAAATTTAGCGTGCGACTATTGACGAGATGGTTGTCACTTAATAAAATATACATACATGTTTTCATCTAAAGTAATCCAGAAAATGTGTGGATGAATGTCGACTTAATTAAAATAATGAGGCTGTTAACTGAAAAAAACTTCATTGATTATATTTTTATTATGCGCACTTTTATATTTTCATACTCGTGTGAGATAATGTCGTCCACATAGTGTCAAGAGAGGACCTTCATTTAGGCCATATTATATGAAATAATACTTCTGCTTAAATTCTTTCTTTGACGGTATTTTTTCTTTTTATATAGGACTTCTTTCTGCTGATATTTTGCGGCATTCTGAATTGTATGCATATAAATAATGCGTTACTTCCATTGAAAGTGGAGTGCTTATCTGCATAAAAAGTGATGAAAATACCTGACGATATAATAAAATAACAGAGAAAAGGAGAGAAGGAAAGAATAAAGAAATATACCATTCTTGCACTCCTCTGACATGCAAAGAGCGACTTTTGCGTTTGGATCAGAATTTTTTTACATAATAATATGTACGTCGCGCGGTTGATTGCAATTTTTTAATTTTTATATATTTATATACGCCGTTCAAAATAAATGTAGGTGTTTAGCCATTAATTACGCTTTCGGAGTCAAACCCTTGATGTAGTTCCAAAACGTGTGTTTAATAATAATTAACACAAAAAACGACTGTAGTGTAACTGGATGTTTGTGCAATGGATATGCATATATACATATGTTGAAAAACACACACACATTTTAGAATTTTGCTTATGATAACTAGAGGAAAAATTATTGTGAAAACTCGATCTCAAAAGAAAGAAAGTAAGATGCGAATTATAAATGTTGTGACCTTTTAGCCTACCGACTTTTTGGAAATTCTTCATCAAAAAGGTTTGAAACCGATTTCCAAAAGAATAAATTTACGTCATGTGCGATTCAAATTGTGTACGAAACATTTCAATTTCTATAGACAAGACCGGTGAGATTTTCATTTTACTGATTCACACACAATACACACAGACACAAATAATAATTTTCAGACAGAGAATAAGAAAAAAATAATCAGTTGCATGTTTACAGAGAGTATAATATATTACCATTCTGTATAGTTAAACGCAGGCAATTTTCTTCAAAATGTGTATAATTGCATAAATATACATTAAATATACTGCATGTTTTCCCTCTTGTGCTAAATAGACAAAAAAAAAAATAAAACACGACATCTCTAAGGTTATACACTCACATAAGAGGCAAAATATCCAAATCAGCTGTGCTTCATTGTTATTCAAATCGATGTTTCTCTTCATTAATTAATTCTTATTGACGTATATAAGCACACGAACACACTCGCATAATACACACGCGTACTAAAAAGCAGAGAAAATTTCAATATGTAACTTTTGAAACTGAATATTATATATAACAAGAGTAATTTTTGTAGAAGACAAACACAACAAAACAAAAAACATTAAAAACTGGTAGCAGTCGTACAACTTATATAGTCAAAAACCGAATCGAAAAAAAATTAAAAATCATCCGTTACAATTAGAAAGTAAAGAAAGAAAATCTTGCAAATCCAACTTATATGCATGTGTACGGGACAATTAAAATTTAGTATAAATGCGCCGTTAGCCCACTCTTGCGCCACTTTTTCCCCGATTACGCTTCTTGACTCGCTCTTAAGTAAATAAAATTGGCGCAAGAGTGGCCTCCTCAGGTCGAAAAACAAGCGAGAACAACCACCACGGGTGGTTTGATATGCGTTTTTTTTTCGGTCGGCGCACGCGGTCGTGAAAAAAAGAACCCACCTTGCGTAACGAATTTCAATTAGGATAATTTGGTTGATTAGCAACGCTGTGTCAACCTAAATGGCCTACCTTCGTAATTATACCTTGTTTCGTATAAGGATGAAGTAAGTGTATACTCAGGAATGGAATTAGACAGCAAAAGTGAACACAAAAAGAATCAGGGCACATTATAACGAAAAAAAAAACAAATCCTTTTGATTTTCCGCTTGCGGCGCAGCACGAAAAAAAAACAACAACACGAAATAGAATACAGCAGTGGGTTGTTTGTTTCGCAATCTGCTCTCCGCCCTTTTGCTTTTGGGCCGAGCTGCTTTTCTGGCGGGGTACGTACGTTGATTGATTTTCCTCCACCACCTCTCGCTCTCCGTTTCGTATTCGCATCTCCCTGCGCCGCTACAACTGATACAACTTGTAAATTTGATATTTAAATGTTTGAGCCGCTTCTCTGTGTCAAACTCAAGCCAGCGTGCTAATTGCCTCCCTATATGTGTAACCAATTCATCTCTCCTCAGACGGACGTATATATAGTGCAGGTTTTTATCTCTCCGCGAGGAAAAAAAAAGGAAAGCTCTGAATTCGGCTGTGGCCCTTTACGGTGGAGGTCGGTCGCGGTTCAGTATTTTTTTTTTATCAGTGAACACGAATTTGCGACACACTTCTTGCACTTTACGGTTGTTTGCCCGAGAACCTAAATTTTATTTCAGTCCTTCACAAGACGAGTCTGAATAAATTTAGATTCTCCCTTAAAGTAAAATAAAATGCAGATTGCGTCAATTTTTTATTAGATTTCTTCTTTTATTTGAAATAGTTTTGTCAACGAACTGCTGTTATATAGAATGAAAAATTAGTTTTAAAATTTCACATATTTAATTACGAATTAAATTGGTAGAAAAGGAAATAGCAAGCAATTCATCCCTAAACCGTCAGCTCAAAAGTTGAATTTAATATAATATGAACGCGATATATATCAAGTTTGCAAATTTTTCACTCATTGTCAGACTCGCACCCAACGTAAGAAAAAAATATAGAAATAGTAGTAATATATTATATACTTTTCAAAATTTTTATATATCGGATCTAAGAGTTGCCCGTAAGTGAGTAAAGATTAATGTTTGTATAAGCGCAGCCTGCTATTTCCTCTGATTTTAACATAGGTGTGTTTTAGGCTTTGGTCGTCCTCTTGCAAAACGAAAGCGCGCAGTTCGGAACTCTTGGTTTTATCACGCGGCTTATCGGGGTAAAAGAAAACGAAAGGTGCTTTTGCAGTAAAAAGTAAAAATATGATTTCTGAGTCAAGTTTTAAATTTCACTGAAACTTACCTGGTTTGATGATGCGAGAGAATATTCGTCGCGATTGATTCGAATCGGACCAGATTCCGAAATTCAAACCTGCACGCATGGATTCTTCTTTGAAAGCTAATGGAGTTAGTTGATTGTCTTAATTAATTGCTTTTTAAAATATCGACAATAAACCCTCTAACGGAGAATAAGTTGGATTAATGCATTATTATGTCCCACAAAGAAAAGAAGACGCGCTTAAAATGCGGAAAAAGCAGTAAAAAAATGTTACAAAAAATATCATGTGTATCGTTGGTTGGATGTATTAAATGGTGTGCCGGCAAAAGCGGCCGACTTATTGACTTAAAGCATCACTTTTCTCTATAAGTAATTAATACATATATATTTACAAATTATGTGTTAAAAAAGAAAGAAAGGAAGAAAAAGAGCATAAAAATTAACTGCGATTATTATTGTTAGTATGAGAGAGTTTAAATTTTGTTATAATAATATATCGAAGCTGCTTCACATAATTGTAGCGAGTTGAGCGAATTATAGCTGTGGGTGTACATATATAACCACAAAAAAGAAGAGTCGACATAGTATATTTTTGTCACGGTTTTCAAGGTAGTCAAATATTTCAAATGTGTATATTGATTATATTTTGTATTTCGCACAGAACGATGATCAAGAGGGTTTGCCAGAGGTGGTTTTTATCTTCTTCTTTTGGCTTGTAACATAAAAATAGCTTGATACATCACAGTCAGGTTTCTTTATGTTTATCTAGAAGGATATTTGTTATTTTTTGTATTTATCTATAATTTTTAATAAAGAATGCTTAAATGTTAAAAATCAAAACCGCGTGTCTTCTTTTTTTAACTCCCAAAACACATAATACTATTAAAAATTATGTCAAAATTTGGAATATTTAAATAATTCTATTGTTTTAAAAAATATCAAAGTTTAAATGTAATTTCCATTATTTTAACTTTTTCTGCAGAAATTCTAAATCTGGACAGCTCATCTATAAAGCTAATAAAAAGTTTATCGTGATAGAAGTATTACGAGTAGATTAAAACTTAATGGTTTGCTTTATGATTTTGGATTGAATGAAAGCGATAATAATTGATAAGATTATGTAATGCGCAATTCCATTCAAAGGACGGCCTGACCTGCCTGTCCTATCTCTTATTTTGCCGCGCATTTAGTGCAGTCCTTGAATTTAAAACAGAGAATTCTTCGTTAGGTTGGCAGCACTGCTGAAGGCATCGAGAAGAGAAGAGAAGACAGAGGAATTTTCTTCGCCGGTTGCTCGCTCATTTCACCGCTCATTAATCCATAAATTGAGGTAATTATCCGCAAATCTTGATAATGAATGTGAAATTTTGAGGTTGAAGAGTTCAATTTATTGTGGGGGGCTTTTTTGTTGCTGTGAAAAGCAAAATCAAATCGAGCCTTATCGCGTCCTTGCAAAAGCGACGTTTTCTCTTGTTTACACTTTTGTTTTCGCTGTTTTCACTCGTTTTTGTTGCAAAATACCCCCTGTCTAGCTCATTGTTTATCGGGGGAAAAATTAGTGTTCTGATTTAACGTCGAAGTCATTGAATTCTCAAATTATAGTTATCTCTATTAAACATGATTTTTTGCAATGTGGCGTTGAGTTGAAATTTGACTCCTGCAATCATGTGAGTTATTATGATAATATATGCTGGTAGGTAGGGTGTGTACAGTACAATCACAAAGTATGCATAATCTTCAGATTGACATTAGTATAATTTTTTATCTTAATTAAACTGATGCGAAATTTTTCTTAATTAAAACATGATCATAATTAATTGGTTATGGAATTTCAGAGATGTCCGAGAACGGATCAACCACTCCTGTCCGACATGGAAACATGCTGTCCCCTGATTCTCCTGGACAGCACAGTCTGCAGCTTCCGAGTCCGATCATTACCAGGAGGACCAGAACCCATTCAACGTATGATTACTTTAAATCAATTGAAAATATAATTAATTTATTTAATTTTCGTCCAACTTCGATTGTATAATTTTCCTTTTTTCACATTGGAAAGTTATTTATTTTCCTTAAATTCTACGACAAAGAATATGTGTGATGTTTTATGAGCATAAATATAAAATTTCATAGGAAGGGAAGAGCAAATAAATTTGCTCCTGTCGACCTATCGGTTGATTTGTTCCGTGCGAATGTTGGTTCTCGTGTGTGTGGGACGTCTGCTCATTTCAATATTTCACACGATAGACAGACAGGCAATATTTAATAAAAAGGGTGGAGGCAAAAATGTTGCACTAGGCGTGTGATATGTGGCTGCACATTGAGCAAGAGCGATGCAAAAATTATGCATCCCCTGTTTTTTGCTGTGCAATTCGCGTCAAGTCGTAAAATAAAACTCAATGGTGTGATGTGTCATGCCGATGGCAGTTGCAATTAATGTCACGATCCCACGCACAACAAGCGATAAAATGTGTGCATTTATGTCATTTTCTACCAAGGGAGGAAATGATAAAAACTTTTCATACGAATGTTCATAAAAAAAAAAAAACATTAAAACCAGACGTTGAGTCCAGACAGTTACTTAATTTTTATTTCAGAAGTAAATCAATTGAATTTTTTTAATTGAAAAGTAAACATTAAAAAAATTAATTTTTTGCTAAAATAAATATTTAATATTAAAAAATTATGCAACCTCCGGGAATTCAAAGACATAATAACAAAATTAAATTACATAGGGAAATCAACTATTACGTTAATTTTTGGTTTTTTGGTTCAAATATAAACCTGTTTCTGAAGTTAAGAATTTTTATTATGCAGATCTGAGAGGGCCATGGTTAATCCATTGGAGCATGGAAAGGTGAAGAAATTCTGCCGTCAAAAGGGCCATGGATTCATCACGAGGGAGGACGGAGATGACATCTTTGTCCACATCTCTGAGTAAAATAAAATCCATTAATTTGTTAAATTACAAAATTACAATGATTTGTTATTTTTTGTAGTATTGAAGGCGAGTACGTCCCTCTTCCTGGCGACGAGGTGATTTTCCGTCTCTGCCCGATCCCGCCCAAGATGGAAAAGTTCCAGGCAGTGCATGTTAAGATCATTAACTTTGTGCCAGAGGTGCACTTGCGCTGGGACTGCCCAAGCGCTGAGAATCCTGCCTAACTTCCATCTCGACTGATTCCAGTAGCCATTCCTAATCTTACGATAGGTTTTAACGGTACTTATCCTTTTTCGGAAGCATTTTTTGATAAATCGTTAAAAGCCCTCGTTTAGAGGGTGAAAATCATCCGATGCAAACAAGACTAATTTTTAAAAAGAAAAACTGATTAGAGCTTTTTGAACTTGCCTGAAGTTTCCATTTTGAACTTCGCGTATAAGGGTTTTTAGTTACTAATTTCATTTCGGAGAAAGGTTCGTCTCCTCTATTTAATATTACGAATCCCCTCTATAGCTAGAAGTTGATTAAACGTGTGCTAAATATTGAAATAATGGGACTGCATGTAATGTTACACACAAAAAGCATCGATTTTAGAACAAGATGAAATCTATATTTTTTTGAAATCGGTGTTTTTCCTGATACCTTATAAAAGTAGCCAATTTATCAAAGATTTTTGTTGCCAAGTATAACTGCAAAATAAAATCAGCATTTTTGAAACTGGAGATTCAATAATTTTTATTATTAAGATAATATATCCAACAATAATCAATACTGATTATAATATTATGGCTTAGGCGTTTAGCACTTCTCGGTTATGGCCCGAAGTTAACAATAACAAACTCTAGTCAACAAACAATTATTGCTAATCAAGCTAAGCAGATCCTTCGTGAGCATTACAACGGTTAAATTGGAATTTTTTGGTCCATAGTTTAAATAAAATTAAAAAGACAGGTACGAAATAATAAATTATTGCATCACAAGAAATGTCCAAAACAAAGCCCTTTACGAGCATTTCCAAACGCAGACTGCCATGTTGCCGGCGAAAAACATGTACAGCAAATTTCGACACTCGTGCGTTATCTCCAAACCGAAGCCTTCGCCGACCACTGCGTGCCATGAAGGACCAAATTTGACGTCCATGGACTCCTTAATAAGTTTGGCTGCGCTCTGTAAAGAAAAATGATAATGAGCTTCATGATTTAAAATTTTAATTATTAATTACTTCATTGTTGCTCGAGTGCTTTTCGCATGCGGTGACGCACAGCTCTATTGTTTCATTTCGCATCTCGTCAGGCATGTCGCAGTGCTGAAAGTGAAATAATTAGTTGTCAGTGCAGTCTTATTATGCAATTGTAGCTGGAATTGAATGGAGAAGCGTCACAATTAACTTTCTATTTTAAGATATATAAAAAGAATAAAAACATTAATTTTATATATCGATATTTCTGCTTATATTAGAGACCTCTGCTTAGTCACTCATATTGAAAGCACATTGAATTTAATTAATTAATAATATAGGCGTAACAACTGCCAAAGTAAGCTTGTATAGCTGCGTACCAGCGACGCAGAAGTTATAAAACAAGTTAGAGCAAGAGAATCGTAAAATCTGAGCTGAAAGCAATAAGTGGCAAGGTCTGCGCAAACTATAAATCGCTTAATTGGTCGGTTTGCAATTAAAAGTTTTTTTATTGCCAACGTTTCCAAGCCAGAAAACGACAGAAAGCTTCAAGAAACTTTGGAAAAACATTTAGAAATATTTAATTTTTATGAATTTATTTTTTGCTTGTTTCTTGATTAATTTTTTTAAAATAAAATTGACAGTAATAATTATTACCCGAACTAAAGGATGCGAATGAATGATCTTTTTGCCAGTCTCGACGTCCTCCTTTTTAGCCTCTACGGTGTCCACCATGGTGTCTTTCCCGGAAAATTGCCAAAAATCTGTTCACTCTTCGTAGTTTTCCTTTTTAACGGTGGCTCCGAATGCAAGTCAGTTCAGCACGAAGGCGCGTCAAAATCATGACACCTCTCATGTGACAGTCGCAGGGCCCCTTGCACTCGTCTCATAATTACTTGAGACAAAAAACTCATTGGGCAATCCGGCTCTTCGTCGGCTCCATTTTCTCACGGGCGGCTTAAGTGGTTTATCCAAAAAAATAACGTATCCTACTACGGAGCCATCTCTCAGTCGTCCAGAAAGCTTCTCCCCTTTTTAAGGAGAATTCCACTAAAATTAATACTTTGCTCAAAACACTTTCTTCAGTTCGAGCACGTTGCTCGATTGTAAATAGAATGCCTTCGGTTTGCAAAAAAATAAAAGCCGTGATCGAGAGTGGAGGGACAATGAACATTGCCATAGAGACCTGAATGAGCTGATTGGTCGATAAAATATACAATCGTGTGTAGTTTGACATAGCAAGGCGCCCTACTACTCTGCCTTTAATAAACTATACGCTTTGTTAGTCCATACCAATCCTATTACGCGGGTGTTAGGATTTTTTACTCACGCTCGATTTGAATGATTACTTTCGAAAACGTACCAGCGTTGTACGGCCTTGATTTAATTACGAAGGAATGCAAATAAATTAAATATTCGATTTTTGCTATTTTTAGAGAACAAAATATGTTCTATTTCAAATAAATTTTGATTAAACAAATAAATGTAGATCAAGTTTGACGTTTTAACACCTTTCGGGTGCACAATATGACTTAGCTAATTAATTACATGGTCCTTTTTTGATTTAAAGTATATAAATTTGACTATCAGGCCCTCTTCTTCATGATGTAGGCAAACAGATCGGGCGCCAGGACGCGCAGGACGATGGCGAGTCGGTGCAGCAGCGGCGCAATTTCAACTTCTTTGGTGCCGAGCGCCACTGCTTCTAATATCCTGTCAGCGACGTACTCGCTTGACATGCCCTTGGCAATATTTTCATCCATCACTGTAACACAAAGTAAATGCATATAGTGAGACTGAGCACACAAATCCTTTGGCGGTGTCCCCAGGAGACGGGCGAATGCCACGCGTCTATTTACCATCCATTGTGGCGAAGACACGTGAATATTTTATTACGGTGCGCCCGAGGAATATGTCAAAGCGTGCTGACATTTCCACTCGAGCGCACTTCGAATGCCTCACAGACAATGCACTTTATTTGCAAACTTTTCTCATTATATGTAAGAGTAAAGACACATTCCCAGGAGAAAACCATGAGCCCTTGTAATTTTATTATTATTTTTTTTTTCGTTTAGCAAACTTGGATTAAATAAATTAATGTACCAGGCCAATTTTCACTAACTTGACCAGGCAACACAATTGGCATTGATATAGCCAGATATAACTAAAAATTGCTCTGAGCTTTCTCTGCAACCATTTTAGTCCCTGGTTTTTACTCTGAAAATTCTTGTAAATATGAACCATTTATAGCAAGGTCCGCTCGTCAGAAAATTTCAATTGTTGTCGAGCTCTCTGATTGGGTACAACTTTACTTGTACCCAATCAGAGAGCTCAAACAACAATCAAATATTTTTTCATTGTTGCTGATGCGCGGACCTTGATTTATAGCACATTTTTTTATAGAAATAAAAAAAGCTAAACGAATTTAATATTATGGAAAATATAACAATTTAAATTAGAGTAATTTGAGGTGCCATGTTTTGAAATTTCCATTTAAAATTTCTGTAAAAAAATCCCTGACAAAATTGTGGTACGTAAATTTGTAGTTTCATAATAATTGACACCATTGAAACGGTACCTTTTAAAATTATCATTGTTATAATTATACCTTGGCAAGCTTGTCCCTGGGCGTTGAGAGCGTTCATTGAAATATTTGTTTTAACGTAGCCTGGGCTGACTACAGTGACTTTGATGCCTTTGTCGGAAACCTCTGCCCTTAGAGAATCGCTGAAAGCTTGCATTGCGTGTTTTGATGCAGAGTAAGCCGCCCTGTTTTTGAATCAATTTAAGTTTAAATTTAAAAGAAATTTTTTAGTAATTACCTGTTCGGAAGAGCGATTCTTCCTTGAATGCTGCTCACAGCAACAATGTGCCCACTTTGTTCTTTGATCATGTGAGGAAGAAGTGCTGAAATAAAAATTTTAAATAATTTTTCAAGCTAAAACAAAATTGAAAATAATTGCCTTTGGTCAAAGCAACGTGTCCGAAGTAGTTTATCAGCATCACCCGGATGTCGATGTCAACCGAGCAGTCCATCACACTGCTCCTGCTGCCAATGCCGGCACAACTAAGTAAAATGTCCACCTTTTTGTGGATGGCTAGCAACGACTCCATTTTTGAAGGAATTTCGTTCAATTCCGAAACGTCAAGGGGAAGAATCACAGGCAAATGTGTTGGGCCAGTCTGGAAAATAATTGCTAAGTAAATTTTCTAAAGGACAAAAATCTTTTAGAAGTACCTCATGGCTGTGGATGAGGTCTTCGCGAACCCTTTGCAACTCATCCTCCCTCCGGGCTGCCAAAACGACCTGACAGCCTGCTCGGTAGAATGCATGGGCCAGGGCCTCTCCTATTCCTGAACTGGCTCCAGTTATAAGAACAACCTGCAAAAAAAAAAAACGAATTTTAGAAAATCTTATTTTCCTCAGGAATTATAATCATTAAATTTTTCAAGAGATAATTTTCCTTCAAAGCTGTATGTGATAAACTTGATAAAATACAATAAATTAAAAAACTTAATATAAACATGATAAGTTTTTTGAATAATTTTCTAATTTGGCTTATTCTCTTTCCGAGATGGGGCAGGTTCTTTTATGACTCCGTTTATTGTTTATTTTTATGATTTAAGGCAATTTTTTTGTTTTAAGAAAAGTAAGGAAGAATTAATTTTCAGTTCAAGAAGTTTAAAGTTAATTAATTTACTAAGAGAATTTTTTAATGATATTATCAATTTTAATTTTGTGCTTGACGCGAGCTCGCGAACAACCTTATTCTGTAGTTGCCTGATGCATTGGGTTTTTTGGCGCATTTGCAGAAATTTGTTGATTATCCAGCCGACTGCCGTGATCGAAGCCAAAGAGCTGAATATCGACTTCCAGCCGCCCCACAGCTGAACCAGTTCCGACCTCGCTCGAAACGTCATTTTGCTTCAAAAGGTGATGAAAAGATCTTCAGAGACTAAAAAATGAAATAAAAAAATTTATTAGAAAAAATACAACTCTAAACCTTGCACAATAAAAAATATCAATCCAAAAATGCGTACGTGCCACGACGAAAAGAATAATTTCAACGCAATTTTGAAATGATTTTGGGTCAAACCATAAATTGTTCGATTGACCCTGAGGCCGCTATGATCATCAAAATAATTGAGATTGATTACACTTTAATCTTTTGACAGCGTACGTGACAGTGCAAAAATAAAATATACAATACAAATTCGATCAAATTAACAACCTCTCCGAATGAAAAATGCTGGCACGATGTGTGGAAGAATTAAAGATGAGAAGTTCGAGGACCGATAGCGGCGATAGTGGAGAAATTTTGAAGATTAAGAGAAAGCGCCAGGTACATTTAAAAGCCCACCGGCCCGCTCTAGTTTAGAGAAAACCACAACATTGAAGAGAAAAATATAAAATAGTAGTAGCTCTGGGCAAGCTGTTTTTCAAGGTCGATCAACCTAAACCAGACGGACGAGCGGCGGGAGACCTCTGGTGGCGCTCCGAAGAACTAAAATTTGCAAAAAAAGGTCTCACAAAATATTTTGCGAAAAATATTTTTTGGGAATTTTTATAAATTTCCGTGTTAAACTGATTTATGAAATAATTAGAAATAATAAGAAAAATTTATATTTTCCTGCATATAACGAAAAAACAGTTTTAATAAAACAAATTAAAATATAGAAAAAAAATGTTTATTTTTTTTTTTTAATTTTCTAACATATAGAAATTAAAGGAAAATTTTGCAAAAATAATTTCGAAATAAAGATCTATGTTAATAACACTGAATCAAATTTCAAAAGATAGCAAAGAAAACAATTGAACTAAGGACATAAAAAAAATATTTAAAAATAAATATATTCATTATCAAATTGTCATATATAATAAGGATTCCTATAAAATTTTCATACAATATAAATTTCTATAAATACGTACAACTAAATTCTTGCTTCTTTTACGTTCGTATATGATTTTTTTTTTTAATTTAATCAAGTCAATTATTCCAATTATTTAATATAGCTTTTGAAAGACTTAGTGTCACACAGTAGTTTCTGCAAATCGATCAGCGAAAATCTTTGCACGCAAAGCAGCCTTGCAAGGGCCGAGGGAGGAGCCAATCATTTTTATATAAACTTTTTTAATCGATTTAAAACGCGGAGCAACACGTTAGCTCTTGCCGGACTCGGCTGGAGACATTGGCTGGAGAGGCGATCGAGACGGCGAAGGGCGCCGCGCCGCGGCAGACAAACGAACTGCCAGCCGTAAAAAATTCGTAAAAAAGTTTTGCGAATCGCGCCGAAAGAATGCCGATTTATTCGCCAAGGAAAACGCGTCACGCGTCGCCGACGGGTGCTTTCCGGAGTCGGGGAGACCGGCCGTCGGCCTGACGGAGTCCGGGGGCCGACGGCCTCCGCGGAGGCGGCGTTCGGGGCGGAGAAAAAAAGCGATAGCACGCGCCGAAATTATTTTAAAAAAAAGCTGAATATCGCGAGTGAAGAGCGAGAGCGCTCATCACGACTGTCAGTAGAACTATAAAAGGACTAATGTGTATTTTTTGTGCATCTATTTTGGCCGATAATTCGCAATTAGCGCGGCGGAAAGAGTGATCGGCCGCCGCACCGCCCGGCTCCGAGACGCAGGTAAGCACCAAAGACGTCACGGCCGCCCCCGAGACCGCCCCCGAACGTCTTCGTACGCGACTCTGTGCGCGGCCGTCCCGCGACTCCGGCGGCGGCGGCGGCCAGACACGGCATCTCGTCGCGAGACTTTGCAAACCAATCGATATGGAGAATCGCTCGGGACGCGGACGGCCGCCGCCTCCGCCGCCCCCGGAGGCCCTTGCCCGATTCGGCACTGGCCCCGCCGCGGTCTCCGGCCGTTTTTCCTCTCGGCATTCTTCAAGGCCGAATGCATGCTTTCATTACATACATACATACTTATTATATCGTTCGTCTGCCGCCGCCGCCACCGCACAGCCGCCGCTTTATGTAACTTAATTCGCACGCCCAGTCTGCTGCGATGCTCCACGAGAGAGGCTAAAGTATTAATTTATGCTACAAAATATACCATTAGTTTATATAATGCCATGTGCATTACTCTCTCATGCATTTATGTATCTTCGTTCTCCGATTACATGCAAAGAAATTTTTAATTTGCAAAAAACTTACTTATTTATTAAAAAAAGTTCTAGAACGAGTGCAAAATTTAATTTGAATTGCTGGAAAATAAAAATAAAACATTTTATTTTCAGCCCCAGCCACAAAGGCCTCGTGGTAGGCGCGCAGAGCGACTTTGCGCGGCACTGCCGCGAAGCTTCACGAGTGACGTAACTGGGGAAGGAAAACCCATGCCGCTCCCAGCTGCTCCCATCTAAATGCATTGTTTTGCACTCTTTGCCGCGTTTTCCGGTCAAATATTGTCGATTCAAGGCGGTTTTGAACATAATCTGCAGGTGTCAGACTAGTTCGGAACCTAGGGAAGCTTTGGCAACGAAGAAAAAGCATCTCAAATCAGCTGGAAGCACGAAAAGCCACGAAAATACGGCCAATATCTCCGTGACGGCGAAGTTGCGGCTCAAAAAAGCAGCGGAAAACTCGGATTTTTTACGTTTTGTGAGTCGATATGTGCTTCAGTGCCGGGATGTCAACAAATTAAGTCGTTTCTGATCATATTTGTGCATGTCCGATTGTTTTTTGTGAGAGAAAAGCGGAAACGAGTTTAGCAACCGGACAAGTTGTCCCACGGAATTAACCAATATCTCGCTCTGATTCAATGTTTTAGAATTTTGGCGATTGAAAAGTTTATATTTTTAGAATAATTAAAGCATGAGGAAAATCGCTGTGTTATTTATTTTTTAATCCGAGCAGCCGTTGTCTCGCTATGAGCATAATTACGCGGCGGCCACTGCTTTGTTGCTTCGCTCGGCTCTCTCTCGCTCGAGTCGCCCGACTGCTGCACTCGCGGGTGGAGAGCGGCGCGCTCGATTAATTAGACGTTTGCGCGAATTTTTTATTTTATTAGTAAGCGTAGAGATAAATCGTTCAAATTTTCAGCATTGGTAGCAAACTAACTGAATTAATTTTTTATTTTTTATTCTTAAAAAAATATTTATCTGGAGCAAAGTCATTAATGTTTCCGCGAGAATTTTGTTCTTTTAATTTTTAAATTAGACAAAAAATTTTAAAAGTACAAACCCTAACAGAAAATTGTAGCTAATTAAATTCTCTACAATTTACTTTGCATTCGTTTTGTTGTCAAAATTTTTTTAATTTACCAACGGGATGACCAAAGTCAAAACATTACTTTTTCTCATTGAAATAAATTTTTTAGATTTTTTCTGAGATAGCCAATCGATTGGAAATTTAATTTTGATTTAAGAACCAAAATTTCATCACAATATGTTGAGCCGTTTAGAAATCACAAAGTACTAACTGATGCCCCCTAAAACTGCCGTCGAGGCTGATTAGCAGGTTTTAGTTCAGACGCTCTTATTTCTAAACGGCTCAACATATTGTGATGAAATTTTGGTTCTTAAATCAAAATTAAATTTCCAATCGATTGGCTATCTCAGAAAAAATCTAAAAAATTTATTTCAATGAGAAAAAGTAATGTTTTGACTTTGGTCATCCCGTTGGTAAATTAAAAAAATTTTGACAACAAAACGAATGCAAAGTAAATTGTAGAGAATTTAATTAGCTACAATTTTCTGTTAGGGTTTGTACTTTTAAAATTTTTTGTCTAATTTAAAAATTAAAAGAACAAAATTCTCGCGGAAACATTAATGACTTTGCTCCAGATAAATATTTTTTTAAGAATAAAAAATAAAAAATTAATTCAGTTAGTTTGCTACCAATGCTGAAAATTTGAACGATTTATCTCTACGCTTACTAATAAAATAAAAAATTCGCGCAAACGTCTAATTAATCGAGCGCGCCGCTCTCCACCCGCGAGTGCAGCAGTCGGGCGACTCGAGCGAGAGAGAGCCGAGCGAAGCAACAAAGCAGTGGCCGCCGCGTAATTATGCTCATAGCGAGACAACGGCTGCTCGGATTAAAAAATAAATAACACAGCGATTTTCCTCATGCTTTAATTATTCTAAAAATATAAACTTTTCAATCGCCAAAATTCTAAAACATTGAATCAGAGCGAGATATTGGTTAATTCCGTGGGACAACTTGTCCGGTTGCTAAACTCGTTTCCGCTTTTCTCTCACAAAAAACAATCGGACATGCACAAATATGATCAGAAACGACTTAATTTGTTGACATCCCGGCACTGAAGCACATATCGACTCACAAAACGTAAAAAATCCGAGTTTTCCGCTGCTTTTTTGAGCCGCAACTTCGCCGTCACGGAGATATTGGCCGTATTTTCGTGGCTTTTCGTGCTTCCAGCTGATTTGAGATGCTTTTTCTTCGTTGCCAAAGCTTCCCTAGGTTCCGAACTAGTCTGACACCTGCAGATTATGTTCAAAACCGCCTTGAATCGACAATATTTGACCGAAAAACGCGGCAAAGAGTGCAAAACAATGCATTTAGATGGGAGCAGCTGGGAGCGGCATGGGTTTTCCTTCCCCAGTTACGTCACTGGGAAAGCAACAGCAGCGCCAGCAAAACTCGCTCTCCCCCACCACGTCTCCTGCTCATGCGTGGCTGGGTCTGTTTATTTTAATCAAAGATGAGTAAGAAAAATGAGTAAAAAATTTAATTTTCATTTTTTTTTATAAAAAGTGAAAATGTATAATTTAAAAATTCAGTGAAGATGTAAAAAAAAATGATGGAAAAAAAGAGGGGAAAACTTGTGATTCGGAAGCAATTTTTATTTTTCTCAGTAAGAAAATGGTCTTTGTCATGTTTTAATTTGTTGAAAGCAGAAACAATTAATTAGGAAATCGTAGTAAAATTTATATTTAATAATTTGCTTGAAAATTTTGACCGAATCGTTTTGCAACTCTTTCTACGTTTTTCTCTTCATTTTTAAATTATTTCATTTTTCTTTTCCAAATTAAAGAATTATTTAATATCAAGCAATCCAAGCATGAATTATAATTGTAACTGATTTCATTCAAGTTTTAATGCAATATAAAACGTTCTGAAAATAATCCTCTATTTGAAAAAAATGTTCACTTTTTTATTGAAATTTAATTTGCCACAAATTTGGCTATTTATTTATTAAGTTAAAATAATTAAGCTTTTTATTTTATCAAATAAATGAAATAAATGCTCTGCTAGATTGAATCCAAAATTTAATAATTTGATTTATTGTGAGAAAATTTAATTCCGAATACATTTTCTTTCTTATGAATATTGTGTCAAATTTCCTTGACTTACCTTTGGGCTTCCATATTTATTTTCTGCAGTTGCCACTGGTGGGTCACAACATTACCTACACTAATTATCACCCAGTCCAGTCAACGTGCATTTTTTTTATCATTACTCATTGCAAAGCCGTCTGTTACTGATAAAAAAATCAAGTTTTTCGCAGGAAAAAGTTTTATTTTAAAATAACTTATATATAATGTGCATTTCACCACGGTAACATTTTAATTGAAAATTCATATTCACATGTTTTATTTTTTTTTTGTTATCAGGAGACCGTGTGAGTGAAATGGACCTGCAGATTTTGTGCGCGCGAAGAGTGAACGAAAACAGCCACCTCCAGCACAACCCCTCGAACGAGATGATTTCGAGTTCTGGCTCGAACGGCACCTCCCCGCTCAAACTGCCCTCGCTGGTGCCTCCGTCGGCCGGAATGTGGTTCCAAGACCAGACCAAAATGCGCGAGAAGCCTCCCGACAGCACCTCGGTGTCCGACTCGGCCAAGAGCGCCGCCAGTCCACAGTCGCCGCCTTGGTTTCCGCAGCAGCAGCAACAGCCGCCCAAGGATCTGAGGGACACCAAGGCCAATGGCAACACGTCTGTCTGGTTCCAACCTGAATCTCAGGTACAAAATAAGTATCCAATTGTTCAAATCTTATTTCCATTTCATTACAAAACTACAAAAGTTTGAATGTGAAATATTTATGGTGATTTTAATTTAAATTTGGTCATACTGAGAGAATTTTTTAATCCTTTCAACTATATTAATGCAAATTAAATAATTTGTTTAATATTTTAATTATTTTGTAGGTTACAGTTCAATTTAAAAATAAATATTGAGGAATTTTTTTTTCCATTCTTCAGAACTTGTTCTTAATTATTATTATTATTATTTTTCTAATTTTATTAAAACTGATGCTTGTGTTGTTTTTGGTTGAAATTTGCAAGTTTTTAATTAACTAATTTTGCCCAGGAGGACTCCACAAATGTGAATGTGGTTTCCACCAATGACTCGACCGCTGACGATTCCGAGGAAGACGAAGACAGCGGCACCACAACCAACGAACCCGTGGACACAACACCAGAGCCGCCGAACCACAATTCGGCACCCCCTGCCAGTTCTCACGAGCCACTGCCCCCTCCAGCCACCTCCATGATGGCACCCTGGTTCCTCGCTCAAAAAGCCAAGGAGTCGATGTCGTCGATGATGAAGCCACCAGAGCTCAACATCCCCTCAGCCCAGCACCACCACCCAAACATGTCCTGGTTTCTGGGCAACAAGGAAACACCAAACAAGTTGCACCACGAGAGCAACAATAAAACTTCGGAGCACAACTCGGGCCCATGGTCAGCATCAATGTGATTAATTTTTTTGAAAATTTATTAAACAATATAAAAATATTTATTTTTACCATATAAATGTAATCAAATCTCTTTTAAACCAATTTCAGGTATTTGGGCCAGCACAAAATAAATGTCAACACTCCAGAGCACAACAAAGATCAGTCCAGTCCTAACAAAGACGACGAAGGTCCGTGGTTCCTGGGCCAAACGAAACCTACAGAGCCGCGCGACCTACACAAACAGACCAACGGCTGGTTCCATCACACCGACATCAAAGTGGAGCAGGACGATACAATGGACAAGAGGCAAGAGGACGCAGTCAAGAGTGGTTGTGTCTGGTTCGGTCACGGCCTCTTGAAACCTGACAGCGAAAACACAAGGCAGGACAACCTGTCGAAGATGATGGGCGCCTGGTTCAGCAGCAGTCACATGATGAGGCCTGAAATGGTCAAACAGGAGGCTGGCACTGGAATGCACCCATCTGGCTTCTGGTACGAAAAGTCTGGCAAAATTATACAAATTTCCAAAGGATACATAGCTCATTTCTCTTTTAGTTTCTTCATTCAAAGATATGTTTCTGTTCAAATTTATTTATAAATATTTGAAAAAACTTCCGAATACATTGTATTTTTTGACCATATTAAAAAAACAATTTTTAAATAATTTTTCTTTGATTTTTTTTGTAAAATATTAGTAGAATTTCTTTTTAATTACTATATAAATTAATGCTTTTCAGGTTCATCCCTGGCTCGTCAGCCTCGGCAAACTGCAATGGTGGCCCCAATGTGACCGCCGCTCATGGAGGTGGCAAACTTTACCAGTGCGACTTGTGCCAGACACAATTTCGACAACGAGATCGTCTTCGAGAGCACAGAAGGATCCACGCCCTGGGCGAGACGCCGCACACCTGCACCATCTGTGAAAAGGCGTTCACCACGGCCGCTGCCCGAGAGTGTCACGCAGCGGTGGCCCATCTGAATGGCGCTGGCCATCCTCCAGGGCCATGCAGATTCTGTGAGGCCGGCGACACCCAACACCTGGAGCACGTTGGCATGCACAATCATGACGGCAGCCATCACCCACCGCTCCGCAGGCAAGGGGGTGGCATCAGGAGACCTGGTGGTCCTGGCGGCTACGAGTGCAAGGTATGAATTAATTAAATTATTGACATAGGAGCTTCTCTATGACGTATTAATTTCCATTTCATATTAATATTAAAAAATTATTTTATAAGAACATTTCAATGATTTTATCAAAATTTTTAAGTTTAACTTCACTCAGAACTCACCATGGAATTTCATCAATTTTGAAGCTGGCGTTTTAATAAATTAATTATTAGATGATTTAATGTTTTGTTTGATTCAACATTGTACAGTTCATATATTTTATTGTAAGATTGATAGCCTTAACCAGCCCTCAATAAGGATTTTTTTCTGGCATAGGCATTCTGCTCCACAAACGTGACGAGCTGGTTGCATAACTCTTATTTTCCGCAGGCGTTGAGTTGCCGGGGGAAGGAATTAGGGAGAGCAATAATAATATGCAACAGTTTTATGATTAAATTTTCAATTCAACTTCTTACATTTTACCCTTTTCCTTTATTATTCATTGGAAAATATTTGCCTTAAATTTCTTCTTGAACACAAAACTATTTATTTTTTAATATATTTTTCATTGATAATTATGAATTGAGATGCAAAATAAAAGGTTCCTCTTCCAATTTCAGATGTGTGGCCTACGTTTTCCTGACGGACCGTCGCTTACAGACCACGTGGACCACCACCCTGGCGGGCGGCCACTGCTGTGCCGTTTGTGCTGCAAGACGTTCAAGAGCAAGCTAGGCCTGGAGAACCACACACGGCTGCACACGGGCGAACGGCCTTTTGAGTGCGGCGAGTGCGGCGCGCGATTCCCGCAGCGGGCCGCCCTCGACTACCACGTCAAGGGCCGGCACACAGGTGAGAACCACCGCACGTGCGGCCGGTGCGGCAAGCTGTTCCGCTCCACGCCCGGCTACAACAACCACATGCGCTTGCACGCGGTCCGAGACACCGCCTCGGTCAACAACAACGCGGCCGTTGTGGCGGCGGCCGCCGTCGCGGCCGCTGGCGTCATGGCCGGCGGAGGGGTGCAGGCCGCCGTCAACGACGCCGTCGGTAACATTCTCAGCGGCACCTCGGCCGCCATCGTCGCTAGCAATAAGGAACACCACCCTCACTAGAGCGCAACCGTAGCGACACCACCCCTTAATTTTCTCACAAAAAGGAAAAACACAACAAACACTTAAAACTTTCTCACTCACACATACACCACCCAACACACCCTGATACTGTTTTAATAAGTAATGCGGCTAAATTGGGTCATTCTTGAGGGCGATTCAAAATTTCTGTTTCCCGTTCCTTGAGGATGATAATTTGACTTTCCTAAAACTATTATGTTCTAAAATCTTTGAAAATTAGAATCTCTGATGTAATATAATACAAATTTTTTGTGCATCTCAATATCTGAAATTAAAACGAATCAGTTTTCGGAAATATTGGAAATTTTTAAAATAATCCAAAACAATCGAATTGTTGACAAGTTTTGCATTTCCATTAAAATTTATGATTTTGTAAAGCTATCTGCATTACCTTAAAAAGTCAAATTACTTTAATCTCTCCCGTTAAAAACTCTCTACTACTTCTTTGTTTTGAATCGTCGTCATGATTTGTAAGGTTAGTTTTCGTTAATTGAATATTACGAGCTCAAAATATTAAAAGTTTCACTCTCGGGCATGTTCTGATTCGTGCGCTGCTTTTCATCGCTTGTGATAAATGTAAAATTGGAATCTTCGAAACCCGGAAGTCTGGTAGCTCGAAATGTGATAACGCTGATACGAATCTTGAAATCTAGTGCCTGAATGTAATCTTAGTATGAAGCGCAGTGGAATACAAAGGAAATGCATATTAATACGCGATCTTCCACAGCCCTGGTCGTTTTTAACTTTGTTTTGCTGCGGCTTTTGAAATTTCTTCCCCGATTTCATTTGGAAAAAATAATAATCTTCCCTTTGAGCTCGCGACAGAACATTCCTGAGAATGTTACGGTGAAAAGAAGATCTTAATATGTCCAATCAGAATAATTGAATGTGTATAGAAAGAAATGTACATTTGAATGAATTTATTACACTTGTAGTTTGATCACTGACAAAGAAAGAAACACACACACTTATTCACACACACTCACACTCGGCTGCAGGCTCATGCTAAAAGTTGGCCTGCCGCCGGCGTTGGTTGATTCCTCAAGTTTTTAACACTCGTCTAGAGTCTGCTGATGTTGTTAATGTGTAAACTAACTTAAAGTGGATGAATTATTATTAAAAAAAGAATTATTACTTTGAGTAAGTAACCAACCTATAGAGAGTAATCAATAATTAGTTCTCTAAGCGAATATGATTTGATTTAAGAGGAATTAATTAATATTAGCAAACGAAATAGAGATAACTGAGTAAAGAAAAATGGCTGCATAATGTATTGTGTTGGTTGATCGACGAAGCAGGGCAAAGATTGGAACGAGATACATACACACAAAACACACACAAATTAATTAACAATTTCTCACTTCAAATTCACACCTCTTCCTTCCAATTTATTTCATTTGAGACTGGGTTTGATAATTTTCTTGCCGCGGTTATTCAGTGTTGAGAGTTGGATTTTTTTTATTTATATAAAACTTATAAAATATATACCCAAAATGTACATAGTTGGGGTTTGTCCAGGCTTTTTGAGTTATTGAATTTTAATCTAATTTTATTCCGACCCTGTTCACCTCAAACCTGAGTTACCAATTTTTAGTTCCTAGAACGTTTCGGTGCGAAATTGTTATTTTAGTATAGCTCGCAGAAATTTATAATTTCATTGCCTGGCGCCCCAAGTTGTACATTAAATTGGACAATAATGAACGCTAGTTAATTTTTTTAGGTTTCTCCATCTCGCGCAAGTTCAAAATTCCAACCAACACAAGAAATTGAAGTAAATAGGCGTAATTCATCAGTATCCCCCTTTCTTAGACGGCAGGTAAAAAAGTAAATTGCATGACTGGTACGTTACATAGTTGCAGTAATTATCAAACCCTAGTCTCTTGAAAACGTAAACTACTTGCTGTGCTGAAATTTCAATAATAATTACGCTGTATACTGTAGTAGAATGAGTATCGTTTTGTGCAAAAGATGTCTTGTAATGTGCAAAAAAATTATTAATACTATTTTTGTTTTGAAATATGATACGAAAGTGTTCGTTCTTGTCTACTTGTTATAAATTTTGTTCCTTGATGGATGTTGCAAAAAGCAAAACGACTGAATTTATTTAAAATTATAAATACGATTGGAGAATTGGGGGAAATCGATTGTGTGCAATAAAGACTGCATAAAGAGTATGGAATTTTTTTAAATATGGATTACGAATATTGAATGTGAACCAAAACCGATTACGTTAATCGACGGTGGTGGTGACTTGCAGCACTAAATAATATTTGACTAAATATTGAACTGTCACTCTCTTTTATTTTGCGACTGGCTTTCAGCTCCCATTTTTAAATTTTGTTTTCTTCCCTCCTCGTCAGCGTGCTGCTGAAAAAGTGCACGCGATTCTCTGAAATGTTCCTTAAAATAATACAGCGAATTGAGATCTCGATTGATGTCACTGAAATTTTTTTGTCAATTTTTTTTACCTTGGAAAGTGCCATTAATTTGAAGTCTTTTTTTAACTTTGTGGTTTGCCAATATGTGTATTTGTTTCATGCTGTGTAGAGAGAAACTTTGCCTATTAAAAAGTTGCAAGTCTCATTCACGGAAATTATTATATATATTTGATTGTTCTTTTAAAACGATCCGGTGGTAAAAATGTGTGCCGCTTTAGTGGCGTGTAAGAATCCTATATTTCAAAGCATTTTGATATTCCGCGCTTGAAGAAGCCTTTGATTTTCGCAGCCAAATGTACTTTATCTCTAGGAGAAAAAAGATACGTAAAAAAATTAAAAAATGAATTTGTATTAACATCAACAACTCTTTCTCTCTCCCTCTCTCGACTCTTTGATGTTTTGCAGTTGACATACATACACATTGTATTTTTTAATCATTGGTTGCGCTTTAAAGATTTTTAAAAATCTTTTTAGCAAGAATAAGGAGCAAAATATTATAAGATGGATCTGTTTGGTGAGAAACATATTATGAGAAACTAATAAAGAGAGATGTCTTTTATTGAACATATTAACAGGTGTGTGTATATATTCTCAGAGATGTTGGAACATGAACGAATCAATAAAAAAACTCAACCTGTTACAAAGCAAAATTTCGCAAAATTTATTTATTTTTTCTTATAATGTTCATTCCAGCTAGAAATTTACAATAGATATTTTGATTCAAATATAATTATGTAGTAAATTGGAATAAAAAAGCATGAATTTAAATTTTAACTTCGTGGATGTCTAAAAAGAGTGTCTAAACCTTTTATAATTTGTTTAATAAATTAAATTTTATAAAATTAAAATCAATCACAATCAAGCACGTGCCGCTTGTGCAAATTTCAAACCCTGTAAATTTGGTCAGCTGTAGACCGCGCCCACTTTTCTGTTTGGTAAAGAAAATCCGAAAAATCAATCAATCGTCGACCTCGTGAGAAAAACTCATTTTTCCTCTCCTGTATTCAAATTTGAGCATTCCCGCATGCTTTGATCGATTTTTATTCCTAAGTAAGTTTTAGATTGAAATCCAGAAATTTGTTCAACTCATGTTTCTTTTAGAAATTACAGCACAAATCTAAGAATGGCAGAAACGGCAGCTGCAGTTTTAGCGTCGGCGACGACAGGTTCTTCAGACGAGGAGCACAAAGAGCAAATCAAATCGGTTTAATCAAAATGGTGTTAAAAAATGCAAAATATATTTTTTTTGTCATAATAGTTCAGAGACTTCTTGGTTTCCTACAACAAATTGTCAGAGCTGTGCTTTTCCGAGTGCGTTTGGGATTTGACGACAAGAAAAGTCAAAGATCAAGAGGTTGTTTTTGTGAAACATATATAATTTTTAGAGATTTTACTGATTGGAAAATAAAAATTTTAGGACAAGTGTGCGATGAACTGCATGGAGAAGTACTTGAAAATGAACCAGAGGATTTCTCAACGGTTCCAGGAGTTCCAAGTTCTGGCCAACGAAGGCGCAATGGCTGCAATGCAGAAGGCCAATTCATAGTTAATAAATTCATAGAATATTACATATTATCTGATTATTTGTATAGAGGATCACTGAAATATAAGAAAATTTTGTGAACTTTAAGCAATCTCATTTTATTTCTGGGAAAATAATCTGCAATGTACAATCGGTACAAGAATTATTGTTTCGGTAAACGCAACTAAGTTAATAAACCCACTTTTAAATCAATTTTAGTTTTCAACAAATTCTCATTTGGAAACAATCTCAGATCCGCTGATAGCTTTTTTCAGACGAAGATAAAAATTAAAAGAAATTTAAAACATATTTGCCAAGCCAAAGAGGTATTTTTAACTGAAAAATAAAATTATCAAGTTAATTCATTCTAAGTTAAGATGATCATTCCTAATCTGGCCACTTATACATCAGGTTGAGGGATTCACAAGAACAATCACTTTACACACATACGCCCAGAATTTGAAAATCAAACAAACGAAAATACACCTCGGAGTTCTACATCGAGAGTCTTGTCTCTTTATTGCCGAAATCAATTCTTGCTCCGCTTGGCGACCGGCTCGGCGCCCGTTTCTTTCAAGTTGACCCTCTTCGACCTGGTCACCACTCCACTTGCAGGGGGGAACAAACTCTTCTTAGCCACCTTGCCTTCAAATTTGGCCTTCATTTTGCTGTTGTCCACGCTCAACTCTGGGGATCGACTGTTGTCAATTATTTTCTGGCTCAGCTCATCCACTATCCGACGGAGGTCTTGGATCTGCGAACTTTGCTCTGAGATTTTGGCAGACTGGTCTTGCAGTTTTGACTTGTTGTCCTCAATCTTGACACTTTGCTTAACAACCTGGGAGAAAATTAAATTAAGAAACAAATTCAATCAATGGAAGGTACAAAATTTACCTTAGATCGTAAACTTTTGACTTGCTTTTTCAGTTCTATGTTGTTGTTTTTCACCTTTTGCAGGCTAGCTTGGAAGTTTGATATCACGTCTACTTCATCATGAGACTCTGTACCTGACACTGGCATTTTCAGCGATAGGATGCTCTTACTTCTGGGAGTAGCTAAAAGAAAAAATTATTGTTAAAGTTTCATCAAAGTTGAATAATATCTAAAATTTTTGAGAGATTAAGAACTAGTTAACTCATAAATCTAAAGGAATTAATGTCATTATAATTAATTAGAACTAGACTTACTCAAAAACTTTGGCTTAAGTGTGGAGCAAACCTTCTCATCAAAGTGTTCCATAGCCATTGAGCTGATATCACGCAGTTCTTGCAGAATTTCATGCGGCCGAGGGGGAGTTTTTGATTCGCGCACAATTCTCAAAACTCGAAACATTTCATCAAGGACCTTCAGTTACAAAAAAAATTTTAATTAAAAATAAATTTGTTATACCTGGATTTAAATATGGAAAAAATTTTGGTTTGTTATCAATATATATTGTTTTTAATTAATATTTATTCTAAGCTTGGGATATTTTATTATTTTTTCATCACCTTTCCAGGGATGAAGCAGCAAAGACCAGAGTCTATGTATTTGCCGTAAGTCATCGAGAGCATTGAGATTCTGGTTTCGATCGCCATGAGGACATCGACGTGCCTGGCCAAGGGGTGCACCCGCCGCTCAGACTCCCTTCGAGGCAGCTGGACTTTGACTTCTCGCAAACACAGGTTGCGGAACTTCTCGACGGCAATCAGTCCTTTGTTCAGACAGTCTTTGCCCAGGCTGTTGAAGTCTTTGCTCACCTGATTGAAGCAAAGTTTAAGTAAATTAATTAAAATGCAGCCAAGTCATAACTTACGATTCTGAGTCGAGCAACTTCGTCGTAGGACAAATACGAGAAAACCCTTCGCAGCACAATGTCCGGTAGTTGCAAAAGACTCATTTTCGGGTCGTATTATCCTTCAAGGTCGATGGTGGGAAAAATTCTGCAAATAATGGAAAAGTTGATTGAAATTATTACGTCTTAACAAAATGGTCTCGACTGCCAATCAGCTGCCATATGCGTGGGGATTTAAATTACTGAGAATGAATTGAAAATTGAACAATAGAATTTGATACGAATCTCAATTTTTCACAAATTATAATTTTCTTGGCAACAGAATCCCTATTTTACATTTCAGCTTTTGTATATAATTCGGAAACGTGAATCAAGAGGGCAAAAATAGCCGGTCAAACTTGAGCAACACAACACAAAGATCGAACTAAAATAATTTTAAAAAAAGGCCATTTTCAATTAAAATTTTAGTGCTTTGACGATGGATTTGTCAAGGAGAGAAAAACAGTATCTTACAATCTGCAAGTAGCTGCAAGTCTTCGAAAAATAACTTTTCCGAGTGAGTTATTTACATACTTTTGCTCATTTATTTATCGCCATAGCCAGACGTACATGTTGAGGGAGCAATGCTGCCAACCTGACAAAATAATCAAAGTTGAAAAATAAATTAAATTTATTTTTAAAATTAATTTGTAAGATTAATGATTCAAATTGAAATCAAATTGTGAGTTTAATGTTTAATATTACAATTTAGTTTAGATTTCAATAAAATTATTTCTTTTTTGCAAATTAGTTTGACTTTCCGCCGATTAGGTAGCGCTGCAAGCTCAAGTCTTCGCGAAAATAGGACCTTTTCACCGCCATCTAGCAGGCGGCGGGCCAAGCCAAGGGTCCGAGCGACGGAGGGCTCAGTTATTTGGCCGCAGACCGCAGCAGTTCCACAATGGCGCACAATGGGGAAGGACCGATGAGCAAGCGACTTCGGACTGATTTGGAGTCCCAGCAAGTCAGGGTAAGTTTCCGTGGCCGCGGCGCCGCAGCCTTCGAATCGAGTCAGGGTCAGCCAATCACTCCGTTTTAAGGTTGGGGTGGCTCTCAGGGTGAGGCGGAGGCTGGACCTTCGGCCGCAAAGTCCGAGCAACTCTGCAGGTCCAGCCAGCGGAGATTCGCGGCCCTGACAGGGTCCCGATCGGGGCTCCGCGAAGCCCACGCCCTTCAAGCCCAAACACCGAAACCGTTCACCCCCTGAAAGAGGCTCGTCGCCTCCGTCGGGGTGCAAATTGGCCAAAATTTCAAAGTGCAGTGTTCGACCGTGCACGAGAATAACAAAGGGTTATAAAAAAAAGGAGCAGAGCCGCGGCGTGATCCGCGAGCAAAAGCAAAACCCAGCCGGCTGTGCAATCACGCGTGCATTCCGACTTTGCTTTCGCCGAGCACTCGGACAACTCCCGTCCTCACACCCCGGTTGCAGCCGAGCTGCTGGAAAACGAGAGCGATTGATCGCGCGCCGAAAGTGCAAGTCGAGAAAGAAGCAAAGAAACAAACTACGACGTTGTACTTGATCTGCACTTTTAAAATAAACATATATTAATTCTTATATGAAATCCAAATATTTAAATCACTAAAAAAAAATACATATTGAGTAGCAAATTGTGTTTATTGTTTATATATTAATTTTTTTAATTAATCTTGTTTTTAGATTAAGATTAATTTTTGGATTATTTTTAAACTTATCAAGCAAAGATTGATTAGATAATAAATTGAAAACTTAACTTGAATGAAGATTAATTTCAAATATAATTGCAAGTAATTTTTTTCTTCTCAATTTTGTTATTGCCGAGTTTTTGCGCGTTTCTTCTTTCTTTGAAGGTCAGGAGTTCAAAACGTTTGTCGGTGCCGTCGGAAAAGATTGTCGGATAATCTTGCTGGGAGGGAAAGAAACCGAGAGTGCTGCTCGGGGGAGCAGCCCCGAGAGATGGGGCGAAATGAGACGGAGGATTTGAAAGAGCTCGTCTTGCTCTCTCTCTTCCTTTGTCCCATAGGCCAAACATCGCAAGTCTCGTCCGGCGCATTCAATCTCTCGCCGCAATCTAATTGCAAATTATTTTCCACCCGGCAGCAGCCAGCGCCGCAATTAAACTTTTCTCTCCGGCAGCGTAATTGCTCGGAGAGGAACGATTTCAACTTCTTCGCTCTCAACTTCGTGAAGGATTACGAACGAAACCGTCTTGGAAAAATCCGGAGCACCGAAAAGTATTAGACGAAATGAAATTCCGGGACGGAAGAATGCAAGGGTTGGATTTCGTGACAAGCCTCTTAGGGAGGAAAATTACAAGAGTATTAAAATCCTGCAAAGTCTTGTTTCACAAAAGCAGAGGAGTTTTTTTTTATCTCTTGTTTAGATTTTTTTTTGCTTTTATTGAAATAAGAAACGAATTACACCTGAAAACTATAAAAAAAACTCCCCTTTTTCAGTGTTTTATCCCTTACATTAGCTTAATTAAATTACATAGCTGAAAAATATATTCAAATGACTAAAAAATTATTTAAGGACCTAAATTTATAGTGTCAATTGTTCCGTATCAAATCGGTTTCTTTTGAAGCTTATTTACAAGATTGCTGTGTGTACTTTTACTGATAATATAAATTATCGCACTCTTTTACAAGATAGTTCCATTAAAATTATTATTACATATCAATTCAAGTTCAATCGCAACGATTGAGCATCATTCATTTAATTTAATCTTTATCTGATTAAAAAGGTAACAACTTTTGATAAAAATGAAAACAAGATCATTAATTGTAACAAGTTGATTGATCACTTTGAAATTACGCATTGAGGAAAAAACGATTACAATGAAATGCTTTTAAATTTTATGTTTTATTCTTAAGTTTAGTTTCGTTACAAAAAAAAGATTATAGGTTTTTCTTTTATCGTTCCTGAGACTGACTTTCAGCAAAAAATTTTCTTTCCTTGTTAATTAATTAATAGTTATTTTTATTATTACCAACTTTTAATTGTTTTTATTTCGCATAATAATAGAATGAACAAATATGTTTTTACAATAAAAATTTAAAGGAGAAGGTAAAATTTCTGAGCAATTTTTGCCATTAAAAGAACCCATCTTAATTTGGTTTAAAAATAGTTTCAATTTTGTGTTAAAAAATTAATTTAAATAAAATTTAAAGAAGAAAATGAATTCTGCTGACGAAATTAATCGAAAATTCAAATTTTATGTTGAAAATGTAGTAAAAAATTGTTTGTTTCTTCTGTAATCCTCGCATACAATCCTTTTTGAAAAGGTCAATTTGCATTTTTTTTTCAGCCCTCATTCTTTTGCATGTCTGATATGTACCGACTTGATTTCCAATTACCGACCGAATTTTCCTTCACCGCTGCAAAAAAGATTGTCTATAGCTTGTTCCTCGATGGTCGGTGCTCCACTTTTGATCCGCTTTTAAAAAATTCCGTGTCGAATGCAGAAATCGATGAGGAGCAAGTTGGAGGCGTCGGCGGAGCTCCGAGGAAAAGAAGGGCAGCTCGGAAGAGATAAAAGTTTTACAACGCGTCCCGGCGCTGCTGCAATATCAAAATTTAATTTCTCGCCCGAGGGCAAATTGCCTCGGAGCATAAATCGAGTTTCGAAAATTGGCTGCGACAATTAAAAGGCCGCGCCGTCGGACGATTCATGATTAAAGAGGCCCCGCGCTTGTCACTTGTGCAAAACTTTTAATCTTGCGAAGAAGAAGAAGAAAAAAGCTCGAGGCGAAAAATTGTTTTCACTTTTGGCTGGCTGTCGCGGCGTTATTGCTTTTTGAACTTTTTGCGCGGCGGCACTGCTTGAGTTATGACCGCGCTTTGTCACCGCGAAGAATTATTTCGCTGATGGCTGTTAATTAAATTCGTAAAAATAATTTCGAGAAGGGAAGAAAAAAGCAGAGTAACGACGCTAGTTTCGGTTTGATTTGCGAGCTGCTCGTCCGCGGAACTCTTTGATGACACAAAAAGTACCAGAAGTTAAAAAAAGTATTGCTCAAAAATTTAAAATCGTCATTAACTGAAAAAAGCATAGCCGCGTGAATAAATTCACTTTCATTAGTAGAGAGAAATTTGGTGAAATAATTGGATTTATTTGGATTTTTATTTAATTTTTAATTTTTGTGGTTGAAATGTTTTCAATTATTCTATAGAAATGAAGAAAAATTACCATTTTTAGAAGTTGCAACGAAATATTTTCAAATGCGGACAAATAAACGTTTATAATCAAAATTGAAAAATTGAAATCTCTTAATTTTTTTTTTAAATTTGGTTCATTAGCTTTTTATGTGGGAGTTTCAGACCGTATATATTTTACTCCTAATCAAAAAAATTCTAACTCATGAGTAACATTTAAATGTATTAACAATAAGAGAGAAGAAAAGACGTTCATGAGTGCTGTTTTTTGTTTGTTTAATGTTCAAGAACAAATCGGCTCTTCCAGCTTTAGTCACGGTCTGCACCCCAATTTCATGAAAGAAAAAAACACCAGAAAAATAATCAAAAGTTTAATCGACAGATTCATTTTGCTTACTTTGTTCGGTTTTCTTAAAATTTCCTTAAAAATAGTTGTCAGTTACTATTAAAAAGTTAATTTAAAAAAAATTAAAAATTTTATACAATAAAAATGAAGGTTAAAAAAAATTAATTTAAGAAAATTAATAAAACTAATAATTAAATAAATAATAGTACTAATAAACTTAATTCATTTTTATTTTTAACTGAATTAAAAATTATAATTTGCTAAACTTTTCTTGCTTGTGAAATAGGGTTGCAGACTTTGACCAACATTGGCAACGACGCTTGTTATTTTTGAAAATAATTCAACTATTATTAGCCCATCTTTCACTTCATTCTTTTTTCCTCCAAAATTTTAGCAGACCTCAGCCCTTTCTGCTCGTTCATCCAATTTTCTCAAATTTTTATTTTGCAACGAGTACAATAATCTATATTATAATGCAATACAAATTGTTAAGTGGTACGTTTGAATTAACATAATTGCGTAAATTTTTTTCAAAATTGAACGTAGAATTAAGTAGAGTGGCAGAATGTACTGTACAGAGTGAATCCAAGCATCTCTTACAAATGAAGTGTCCAATAAATGTACAGAAGAATACTTTTTACGCGCACACTCGCGTCCTCTTTCTGGCAATTTTTCAAAATTCTGCTCTCCCTCTGTCTTAACACTCGGAGCTTAGATGCAAATTTGCAGATTTTGTTGGCAAAATTCCATTTCACGCTCGGCCAGATTCGAAATTCACACCCCATTTTTTCCCTGCTCGGAAGTTGTGTTCTGGGTCGAATTTTTTCATCCCTCGGATTTTTCCGGCTCGTTTCCGTTCGACCGACTTTCGCCTCCCGTTTAATTGCAGCCTGGCGGGGGATGAAACTGGCCTAATTTCATGGCTGGTCGGACCGCTCGGTGCCGGTTGGCTTCGAGTTTAATCGTTTTCTGCACGGCGCCTGCCTATGAATTTTCCATCGCACGTCTTCGAATTCGGCATCGATCCCTCGCAGCGCATTCGGAGCGAATTTTCGTGAAAGCGGGACTCGTTTTATTGCGTAATCCCATTAGGGATTCGTCTATGTTCACTTTGAACTTGTTTGTCGGCGCGGCCAATCGATACGCAAGCAAGCGTCTCTCTTTCTCGTGATTCTCTTTCCTCCCGCTCCTGATCGTCGTGACATTTTCCGGCGATTTTTCTCCGCCATTAGCGTGCGATCTTCCCTCAATCGTCGGACGGGAAAGTGACAAGGGATTTTATATTCAATGTCTGTTTTGAAACGGTAAAGGTTGAGTTGACATTTTTATATAAAAGTCTGGGGTTTATTAAAAATTAAAAAAAAAAATAGGATTTTTGCGATTGTTTTTCGCTCTTGTTCATTAGCAGTTTGTGTTCGCGTCAGGGAAAAAGAAACGAACAGTGCCCAGAAGTCAAACAGGTTGCTGAATAATGGAAAAAGTTTTGACGCCC